GGGAGAAAAAATACTCCTTCCTTATTTTGACCTAAAGAGCCCAAGTAAGTATGCTGTCTTTTTATTTTCAATGGTGATGGCTCAGAAGCAGTAAGATAAGATTGAGAACTCTTTGCTGTTGATTATTTTCTGAAAGGGTGTGCTTGGCCTTCCTTACACAGTACCATGTAAGAAGGAAGTCCACTGCTCTTTTATTAGGATAGCTGATGGGTTTCATTATCACAATGTTGCAAAGAAATGTATATATAGGTGCGTATATATATGACAGAATAAGTTGAAAACAAATTTTCAGTAGCTAATTTTTCATTCCTTATTTCTTATGACATCCTGTAGTTTGTTATGTAAAATGTGTTAGTGGGAAACCCACATAACTACTGATTAAACATATAAATACATGACACATGACACCATTGCTCTTATGATAACAGCCAAAAAATGAAATATAGAAGATTTCAAAACACAATTGCATTAGCTGTACCAAAGATTTTGAAGGTTATTATCCTACAAAAATGAAAGTTCTTATTTGGTTTAAAAACTGATAACAAAAATGTAACAATTTTAGGATATAATGTTCATATATATGTTCACCATATGAACATATAATGTTCATATACATCATCACAGGTTGGTTCTATTTCAGTTTTCCCTTTTTTGTTGTTGAGATTCCAAATAATAAAGCTAGATGCAAATTGTTGGTTTCCTTGTGCCTTCTTTCTTTAACTATGTCAACAGATATTCTAAGTATCTATTTTCATAAACTAATTAAGCCTTAAAGTGAGGCTGGTTATATTCTTGCAGAGAATAACTTGCAAATATGTAATCACACTCCAATCCCTTTAAAAAAAAGGATAGATTATATGTGTACTCTTAGGGAAAGTAAAAAAAAGATATAAAATTTTGAAAAGTATATTTGCTTCTAAAATAGTCTAGTTAGAGCACCGTGGTCCAAAAACACTTTTTCAGCTTTGGACACATTGCCATTCCTTGTTTCAATTCAATTCGAGGGCAGTGACAAGTATCCAGGGCATGGCAGACACACTGCCAAGATTTGTACAGAAATCTGTACAGAAATCTCTGTGCATGAAACAAAGACATTGCTCCCTACTACAAACCACTGAATATGTGTGTTGTGTTAATTCTTATTGGGCATAAACAACAAGCATGAGGTATAAAATGAGTTCTTCTTACTTCTCAGCAAGGAGGGAAGACTTCTCAGAGAAGCTGGCATTTTTTTCAAGCTTTAAGAAACGGGCAACAGGTGAAGGGAGAGACTCTATGTCGAGTGAAGCACAAACTAAAGTGCATAGATTTGAAACCATGTGGTTGAACCGTGAATGATGTTTGGAGTCTAAAGAGTTACTTCATGGGTGGAGGGAGATGAGTCTGGAAGGTAAGATAGGGTGCGATGCCCACCACGACCACTAAGCCATCTAGCAAATTTCTATCCTTTCCAGGAGCAACTCAACTGGTGCAAAAACCTTCTATGGGGGCAGGAGGTGATCAGAGTGGGGAGGTAAGGCCTGACCCAAAGGGGACAAATAAATGTGTCATACTTTTTATATTAAATAAATTACTACTTAAAGGAGGATTAAAAAGAAAAAAAAAACACTACATCTAAGATATGTATATTACTTTTCCCCAAAAGACAAAATATCAAGCTATTCTTTATTTTGTTGGCAAACATGTCAAATGTATTTGCATTTCTGTGTCAAAAAGCAAACTGCAGACAAAATAGATGTAATGTGAAATGGCAGTGTACCTGAAGTTTCTGCACCTCCTCCGCTTCTCCCAACTGGCTAAGATTATCCCCACTTCAGGGGCCTCACACACATTGTTCTTCAAACCTCGGCATCGTCTCTCAGATGGCAGCCTTCAACCTGTAGCTCTCGGTGTCTCCCACCCTGTCTATCGGCTCTGACTAGGTACCCCTTCCCACCACCCTTGCCCCCTGGTTTTCTCCTTCAACTCTCCTTGTGCATTTCAGGACCTCGAGTTTTGCAATGTCTTATTAACTTGTTCTTTGCTACCTGCAATGACTTTCTGTCTCACGTCTGTGATCTCCCTGATGGAAGAAGAATCGTCTGTTCTTTACAACACTCCACAAGTCCTAGAACAGGACTTGACACGTTATAAAGATTCAGTGACTATTTGCCAAATTAATAATTTTCAAATACAATGATAAATTGTCACACCTAAAACTTATATCTTTAAATCAAGAAATCAGAATTTTAAAATTTCCTTGAGTCAGTTCCTATGCAAAGAATAAGTACAGGAGGAAAAGGTAAACATGCTTAAAAATATTTTCTAAAGAAATATTTAATTAAAAAAGAATTGTGTATAGTTATATTTAGTAATATAAAACCATGTAATCATATATTAATATACAATTTACACAATATAGTTTCAATATTTATTTTGCTTAAATTAAAAATAATTCCTTTCTGATACTCAAAGGGTTTATCTATATTTTCTTCACTGAAGAATATATGTCTTTATATAGAAAATATATAAGAAGGATAAAAGAAAAGGTCCTGATGAAACTTCCTTCTATTCTATTTCTTTTCCATTCTTCCATCAAAAATAAGGTAGCAAAAGTGCCCTCAAATATATTTTTCTTGCAGATCATTGAGGCTTGCATATCACTGCAAACTCACGAATGTCAAGAGAGCAGCCAGGGTTACAAATGTTGAAATAGATAGCTCAGATGTCTTTTTCTCTGGTAAAAAGTTTACCCCCATCCTAACATTCACAAGTGTAAAGCAAACCTTCCTTCATGACTCATATGATTCAGAACATTTATTGTTCATATTTATAAAACAATCCACTGGTTTATATTTAAAGAAAACACACCAAGTTTTCCTCATCGTTCATATTAAAATAATTCTATCTAGAAGAAATATGCTTATTTACTCAAATAGATGGCAGAATTGGAGATCTATTTGGTGAAAACTGGGTCCTAAAAGATATTCAGATGAAATTAGGGGAGAAGCAAACAGGTTAAGTCATGATAACATGACCCTCCATGGAACAACAGCATTTAAAACAATCCAGTTGGTCTTATAAAAGCCAGGTTTGCTGGATAGGGCTCTAGGCTAAAGAAGAAAATTAAAGTCCATTTTTTTTAAACAGCTTCAACACTGGTGTGAAAACATCATTGTCCCCAAACTCCTCATCAGGAAGTCTCTTCTCTTATAGCTCTATAATTTATCTACCTTAGAACTTCCACTCTGATCCTGCTCAGATATTTGCCTTCTTGATTCTAAGAGCTGGTAACTCTAATTTCTGTCTATGACAAGGAGTGGCTTTAAAAATATATATACAGTTTTAGCTTTTGTTTAAAGAAGCAATGAAACTTTTGGTCATAAATCTGCAAATGTGTGGGATACACACACCCTCACATAGATACACACCTAAAACATATGCTTCTCTTACCCATCTTTGGAACAACAGGGAACTTAAAATAAATACAGCTGGGCACCGGGAATATAAAGTGCTGGGCAAACATATACTCCTATTAACGTAAATACATTCTTCAGTGTTTCCTGCCGAGCCCGCTTAGTGATGAAAAGCAAGCCATCCCCATTTTTCCCAAGGAAACATCCCACATGCTCGCCAAACAACCTCCCCTAGCAACTGGATGCCCAGCCAACTAGCAGAAGGAACAAAAGCCTCTGAGCTCCAGCTCAGGGGTGAGTCGCCTTCTGAGACTCCAGTCATTCTAAAGGCAGCACCAGAAGGTCTTGCTGGACACTAGTTGTTTCCCGAAAAATACGTCCAGTGAGGCAACTATTCTCGTCATCTGTCTATAGTAACTGCTTCTTTTGCCTCGTGTAATTCTCGAGTCCTTGAATCAAGACTACCACGTATGGGGTTCTTTGCCACCCCCACCCCCCTTTCCGAGGCGTTCTTCCTACTCTGCGCCCCTCTCCTCGTCCCAAGAGGCGATCTCGAGACTTCAGAATGACCAGTGCTGCACGCTAAGCAGCTTTCTGGTCAATCTCAGCCCAGCTGGCTCCCAAGGCAAACAGACCCTCCGCTCACTTCTCTCGCAACAGCCCCCGCCGAGCGCCCGGCGGGGGTCACCACCTTCCGCCAAGGTCTGGGAGCCCAGCGGGTTTCCCTGAGCACTGGAAACCCAGAGAGGCCAGACCCAGAAATTCCTGGCATTTCCAAGCGGACTGGAAGCAGCCGGCGCGACCCCGAGGTGTTAGGGGAGGTCCCCCCACCCCCCGCCCACTGCCCCAGCATTCCGGAGTCAGACTCTACGTCCCGGGGGGGAAGAAGCCTAGACCCTCGAGAGCATAGATTCCCCCTGGGGGTCAGCCCACATCCTCCTAGAGAGAAAGAGGCAGCGGTGGGAACGGGCCACCCTGCGGGCTCCTGGCCGGTGGAGTTGTCAGTGGCTACAGGTTGCCAGAGAGCCTGTTCCCAGCTCCCGGGGGCGGAGGGCGCTCGGAGCGCTCAGAAAGGAGACTTGTCTTGGGGTGGGGTGGGGGGTGGTGGTGAGATGAGAGATCGAGGGCTGGAGGGGGGCCCGAAAAGGCCCCACGCAGGCGGGGAGGTGGGAGAGGTCCGAGGGCGCGCCTCCAGACAGGGAACCCCAGCACAGACCTTGGCGCCGCAACCTGCGCTTCTTGAGGCCGAAGATGCGAACTTTGGAGAAGATGTCCACCAGGTTACCGTTGCAGAGCCCGCGGTTCTTGCTGGGGCTGCTCCGCCTCCTGCTGGCGGACGGCCGGTCCCAGTGCTGCTCCCGCGCCTGCCGCTTCTGGCGGATCAAGCCGCTGGCGATGGCCGCGGCCATGGTGGCCCCGGCCCGGGTCCGGAGGAGGGAGGCACGGAGGGAAGGGAGCTGAGGGACCCCGGAGAGAGACGGGGAGACGCAGACGGCGGCTCGCCCTCGGGGAGGCGGAGAGGAGGGCTGGGGAGAGGGCGCAGGGGCGCTCAGTCCCCACTAGGACCCATCGCCCTCTCCGCGGAGCGCGGGGCCCGGCGCGCAAATGCGCCCGGGGCGCGGCGGGAGCCAGAGGTGGCGGCCGCGTCGGAGCCGGGAGTGGGGCCCGGGGCTGCGGGCGCCGCCGGTCACCCCGCGTGCCGCCCGAGCCCTCTCTCCGACGGGCAGCCGCCGCAACTCGCGCGGCCTCGCTGTCCGGCCCGCCTCCCGGGCGCGAGGGCGAGCTGGCCGCCTTCTTCCAGGGCAAGAGGTGGAGGAGCGGCGCCCACAGGGTCTCCGCGTCGGTGCGTCCAGGGCGCGCCGGGCAGAACTCAGCGCCTGGCTCGAGCTGCCCCCCGTCCGGTGTCGCCGCCGCTGCCCGCTCGCGGATTCTGCCGGTGATTGTCAAGTGCTTTGGAAATCAGCATCTGGAGAGAGCAATCTTCTCCCAGGAGATCTCTAATCAGAGCGCTTCGTTCCCACCCCACTCCACTCCCCTCCCGTTCCCCCCCTCCCCTCCCAGGTCAGCCTTCAGAAAAAAGAAAAGAAAAAAAGAAAAAAAATGGGAGATACAAGAATGACTTTTAAAATATTAATAATCATATAAAAGAAAGCCCGGAATGGGTGGCAGGGGGGTGGGGTCCTAAGAGGCTGAACCAAAGCAGGTGGAATTGAAGGAATGATCAGCGTTCTTTTTCTTGGATGAAAACTGGCAGGTGTCCGAGGCTCCCTGGGCTTAGTGAGGGTTTCTGGATCTTAACGTGCCTCTTGGTCCGTGGAAACTCGCGGGCGCGGCTGGAACGCGCGGTGGTTTCCGCCCTCCTGGCTAATCCCTCCAGCTCCGGGAGCCTCTCCACCCGGAGAAGGCGAAGAGGGGAGGAGGGAGCTTGGGAGCGAGGCGAGTGTGTCCTGAGAAGCGAGGCGTCTCCACTCCCTACCTAATCCACCCAGACTTGCTGGGCTCTCCCTTCGGCTGGCTGCGGGGAGAAGCAGGTTTGTCATCCTGAAACCGTAGCAGAGCGAGGAGGAGGGAGGAGAGGAGGGGCGAAGACCCCACCTCATCCCGCGCCCCCCGCCCCTCCCCAAATTTACTCAGTAGCACTCCGGAGGAAGAGCCGGCTGCAGCCGTAGCTGCTACAGAACAGCCGCGGGGACGGAACACTGAAGAAGGCAGCACGGAATATTAAGGGCGGGCAGGCTGACACAGTACTCCAGTAACGAGAGAAAGCAGCCAGACTGACGGACACTCCAATTAGAGCCGGTGTCCCTGGGTGGAGAGCCAGGGAGCGAAGCGAATGGACTGTGTCTGACATTCAAACACAAGAGTTGCTGCCTAGTCTCCCTGATTTCCTGTCGGGGTCCCAACAGCACTTCCGTGTTGGGCAAGCGAAAATATGAAGGCCCCGGAGGAGGGGAGCAAGTGGAGGGCGCCCTAGAAAAGGAGGTTGGGAGAGACACAATTCACGCCTGGGTGAACGCAGATCCATGGTTTCTAGGATACACCCGTCAGAACTAGGAGTAGCTTGTGCTCCTGTGGTTTCTCACCTTTCCCTCTTTCCTTTAGACTGCTTGTCATTCCAGGAAGGCAAAGAAAAGAAATGGGCAAACTAGACCTCTCACAATCGGGTGTGAAGAATGGAGGAAGGCAAACTCATTTGGTAATTGCTGCTTGTAACAATCGCTTCTCTGGTGACGACTTTAGAGCTGGGAAGAGGACAGCAAGCAGCCCTGGGAGCAGTTCTGAACCAACACACACTTTGTCTTTGTCTCAGGAATAGGCAGTAAAGTACTACGCAGACCTGCAACCAGGCAAGTGGGAGAAGTTCAGACAAGGGCTGATGACAAGGAGGCTAGACACCTTCTGTTCGATGGAAGAACTTAGCCACAGTCTCACCACGGAAGCAATTACTGCTCAGCTGTTTTTCATTGTATTTACAACATTTTACTAACAAGTCTCTGGAGGAAGAGAATTTAATCTAAAAGGAGTATGTAGATTTCAGTCCAGTGCAGATCAAATTGGTTTTAGGATAGTGTATATAATATTTAACATTAAAAAACATATTCTGTAAGCTGACTTTCCCTACCTTATTGTGTTTTATGCACACATGAAATCTGTCTAATAGCCATGATTATTAAAAGGAAAATGCATGAGTAATTCTCCAGAAATCTGCAATCCTGAATCAGCTAAGAGATAGGAAAAGCAAAGGAAAGGGGTGTGTTGGCTATTTTACTCCATGCCTACCTTTGCCTCCCTGTGTTATGTGTCTTGGCTCTCATCTTTTTACACTATGTATTTAGTGTTGCCATGTTCCTGCTGAAAAAGGAAAGGTCATTGGCAGAGATGGATACACCTAATAAAAGGCTATTAAAAATGCACTTAAATAAGTCGTATTGAACAGAAGAAGTAGCTTGTCTGGCCTTCCATTATTGAAGAGTGGCTATCTCAGACATTACAGATTGCAATTTCCTAATGACTTTACAATTAAAACAAACATATTTACTTATAGTAATGAGTTTTTCAAAGGAGCAAAATGTTAAATATAGTAACCTTTTGAATATAATACAATTGCCCCAAACAACATAACCCAGTTTGCTTTGAAAGTTGTTTTTTTTAAATCCTTGTGATAAATGTGTCTAGTATAATAACTTGAACAGATTAAAGCTTCTTATTATTAGAGCTGTGTTAATTATTTTCTTTCCAGGCATTTTCTTATAATTCAGTCTTCTCTACAAGTCTCTGGATTGTATAATCCAAGGGAAGGTTGGTATTTTGGTTTCTTTAGACCCCCTCCCTTCAACGCCAGCCACCTCAGACAAGGGTGCGATTCAGCACCGCGGACAGAGATTCTGCCCAGCCTTAGCGCTGAGCAAGGAAGCAAGTTCCCTGAGCGTGGGAGCGCCTCTGATGCTTTACCTTAAAAGCAGCTTTCCACTCCCCATTCCGCGCCACCCAAGGCGGGAAGGAAATTAATCCTCACTGCTTCCACTGGCATTAATAACCCACCTTGGAGCACAAAGCCTTTCAGCTTTTTGATAACCGAGAAATACTCTTTTTTCCTGATGCATTCCGACCCCTGGCGCAGCGGACTCCTCAGTCTCAGCGCATCTATGTAGGATTGTGAATTTCACAAGCCTTAAACGGGGTCATTTCTATCTTGTGTGGTTTCCTGTCCTAGCGGAGCATGGGTTGGGGCAGCATTGGGATAATCCCGGTCTTTTCGCTTAATCCATGCGTTTTCCTTTTCACCTCCCCAAAACGCTGTTTAGTTGTTTACAGATGGAGGCAATGAAAAAAAACGCAAGAGGGCCATCTGCTGTCTTAAGCTGTGATAAAAGCATGTGCAAAAAAAAAAAAAAAACAGGGTGAAAACCGTTCAGGACAGGTGAACACAAATCCATACCTTGCTGTGATTCAGAAAATAATTTCACACTCATGAGGACCTCCTTGGTGTCACTAATTTCACATTAGACTTTACAAAAGCAAACAATAAAGTACTGCCAAGACAGCAATGCCTCCTGACCAACCTGTCAGGAGTCTGAACTCTGGTTTCAGACAGCCACGTTCATTTCTTGCCTCTGCTCCATCCTGCCAGTATAAAGATCTCCAGTGAGTTGCTTTAGTCTCCTTCAGCCTCAGTTTCCTTATCTCTACAACTGAGATGATAATGAAATCTCCGTTTCAGTTCTTGTGAGATTAAAATTAATAAACAATTGTAAAGATCCTTGTCCAGTGTCTGGTACATCCTCGGTGTTTAAGTATGACAGCTATTATTTTCATTGTCTTTCAGATCACTTATTTCTATCTTGGAAATTCTGTTCCAATTTCCATGGCTTTTTGGTAACAACATACATGTAACCTCGTGTATATTTCTCCAGCTCCTAAATGGGTACCCAGAAATATTTTAAGTACTCAGAAATGTAAAAATTATTCTAAGTCTTGGCAAAAGAAGTCCAAGGTCAAACCTTAGTTCACAATTGACCAAATTTGTGAACTTAGCTCTGTAAGCCTCTTTCCCCACTCATTGAATAGTGATAATAAAAACATTTCCCTGCCTCACAGAGAGCAATACATGTGCCTCTGAGAACAATTCTAACACTGCAAAGTATCACACAAGCATTAGTTCACTGGAGGCTGGTTACCAACCACTTCCTTGTGCTCGAAAGTCTCCAGAAGATGCCAGGTTCCCTTTGGCCCTTCTTCTTTGCATATGTTGTTCCTTCTGCCTGGAACATTTTTATTGCCTCTTGCCCACACTCCCCTTGGCAATATAAAACAGTAGCTAAAATCACAATTGGAGTAAAGCAAACATAGACTGTACTCTGCACCCTTGAGCGATTGATCTAAACCTAAGTTTCAATCTTCTTTGCTGTAAAATAGTCATAATAATGCAATAAGATCATTATGAGGATTAACGGAGAACATGTGTGTAAAACACAGCAGTGCCTGCCACATAGTGCAAACTCAATGTGCTCAGTTGCTCAATCGTGTCTGACTCTTTGTGACGCTATGGATGGTAGCCCACCAGGCTCCTCTGTCCATGGAATTCTCCAGGAAAGAATACTGGAGTGGGTTGCCATTTCCTTCTCCAGGAGATCTTCCCAAATTCAATGCATGATAGTCATCGGTAATTTCTTAAACCCTCATTACTCAGGTCTTCATTTCCTCAACGACCAAGTCCTACCTTGAAATTTCTGTGAAGATGTCTGGTAGGCATCTCAGGCTTAACTTGGCCAAGATTACACTTTCACTTTCCTTTCTCTGACCTGCTTTACAATCTCCCCCATCTCTGGAATGACATCTGCCTTCTGCTTGTTCTGGCTCAAAGCTTGGGCATCATACTAAGCTCATTTCTTTCTTTAGCACCTTTATGTAATTCCTCAGCAAAATGCATTCACGCTATCATCAAAATATATCTACTACACGATCACTTCCCACTGTCTACGTTGCTACCTGTCACCATCATCTATTGAACTGTTACAGTAGTGACCTGATTGGTCCCTTGGACTTCACCCTTGACCTTTAATATGCTCTCAAAACTGTGGCCAAAGTGTTAGAGGTATAAATCCTATTATTTTACGCCTCAATTCAAAATCCTACAACTCAGTAGAAACCAAAGCCATCACAGTGTCCACAATGCTCCAGATGATTTGTATCCCTCATCTACCTTCGTTTGCTATCTGACATCATCTCTGCTTCTCTCTTCATTCACCAGTGGCTGTTCCTCAACCCACCTGGCATGCTGCTATGGAAGGATTTCCATGCTTTCTGTTCCATATGATTCACTCCCCTTCGAAATCTTGCTCACTGATTATCATCCCAGTTGAGATCCTCTCTTACAGATCTAACTAAAATAGCAACTGCCACACAGTCAATCCCTTATTCCTTCTACAGAGCACTTACAACTTTAAAAAATTCTATGCATTTTATATGTGTTTTTTAGTACGTATCTTATTCATTTGCAC